AGTACCCCCCAGCCCCCTGCAGCCCCTCGCTGAGTACCCCCAGCCCCCTGCAGCCCCTCGCTGAGTACCCTCCTCACTGAGCGGCCCCCGCAGGGTGTGGAGGATGCCTTCTACACGCTGGTTCGGGAGATACGGCAGCACAAACTGCGGAAGCTGAACCCCCCTGATGAGAGCGGCCCCGGCTGCATGAACTGCAAGTGCGTGCTCTCTTGACGCCACGGCGGCGTGAGGTGAGCGAGGCCAGCCAGCGGGGCGCAGCTGCCACTTGCGGGTGGCTGGTCAGCAGCGGCCTTGTCCCTGCCTGGCACAGGTGCAGACCTGGAGGTGCAGGGAGACAGTGCAGCACGGGAGGACGCATGGAAGGAAGGAGGTCCCACCGGGCCCCGCCAGCCCAGGACAGTGTACAGAGGTGGCTATGGCCCTCCCATGGACGCTTTGCACGGACTGTCAGGAGCCGAGCCCACCACCTCTCTTCCCCTGCCCCTCGGGTGTAGGTGGTATCACAGTAAATTATTGGATGGTGTTGACCTGGAGTTGGTCTTGGGGTCGGGATGTTAAGATGTGTTAGTCTCGCCAGAGGGCCATCGGGGAGCCCAGGCTCCGCCCAGTGCCTCCTGCCCCTGTAGAGCTTTGGGTGTCAGCAGGCCTGACCGTGCCAGTGTGGACACCTTGATGCTCTTCCCGCTGAGGGGCCTGCATGGGGACACCTGCGGCCAGGCAAGGTGGGCACCCCTTGGCTCGGGGTGTGTGTGGGGGCATTTCTGAGTCTGCAGACTGAAAGTCAGGAGCTGAGGCTAGAGGAATTGGGGACCTGAGCCCTAGCCTGTCACCTGACCAGTGCTGTCCCCAGTTGCTCAGAGATGGTCCCCAGCACCCCTTCTGTGGGGACAGGGTGGATTAACTGCCGGCCAGGCACCACCATCCCTGCTGAGGTCTCAGTTTGCCTGGCCATCTGATCCCTTTGGCAGCCCTGGCTAAGCCCAGCCCTGATCCTCACCCTGGCTGTGGGGCCAGCGTGCTCTCCCCTCCCAGACCTAGTGAGAGGGGTCTGTCCAGAAGGGTCCGCCGTAAGAGGGCTGGGTAGCTGTGGGAGGGAGCCCTGGTCATGGGTGCCCAGCTTCCCCGGGACGCGGAGGTGGTGGGCCGTGCAGCTGTTTGTTCATGCCCTGCGAGGGGCTTCCTTTGCATCTGCCATAGGTGCCTCTGCAGGGCAGGGAGTATTGAGCCCGAGGTCCCCAGTGGCCATGGGTGGACCTGGCCCTAGGAGCCGCCGGGTGGCAGGGTGGGGATTTTGCTGTGGGGCTCCAGGTTGACCACAGCTGGCGTTTACCAGAGGGAGCCTTGGCGTTGGGGACCAGCTATCTGGCCTCACAGTAATGCCCAGAATCGTAGAGTCTGTGGCATGCTGGTGTGCTGGGTGGCCGGCTTGGCTTTGTGGGTGGTAGTGGGCCCTGCAGAGCCCTCCCACTCAGCCACCTGTGGCCCCTGAGACAGTCCGGCTGGGGTCCTATGGCCGACTCCGTGTGGGGTACAACTGCCCCTGTAGGGCCAACCAGGCCTGGGGGAGTAATAGTAAGTAGCTTGGAGCTGGCAGCAGGGAGGGCCCAGGAGGACAGCCTGGGAGCCAGGACATGTGTTGCCAGGCCAGGCCCTGGGCTGCTCTGAGGGCGCTTCTGCAGGCTGAGCCAGGAGTGGGCCTCGGCTGGGGTGTGGGCTGACTAGGCCCCTGGGAAGTGGGGGCAGGAGGTGTCCCCCTACTCCTGGGGCGCCTACCTGTTGTGCACCTGGGGATGAGAACAAGACTGCCAAAATGAGTCCCTGGCTCCTTGACCCCTGTGGCCCAGGGCCACCTTTCTGGGGCATGGCAGGGGGCTGTGCAGAAGTGTTTGCAGCCTTGCTTTGAGGCTTCTCGGAGGAAGGGGGACCCTGGAGCTATGGGGGTGGGAGGCAAAGGCAGAGTGGGGTATCAGGTCCTTCGGACAGGCAGACAGCTTGCCATCATGTGTCTGGCAGGGGAGCAAGTGTGATGAGGTGGGCGTGAGAGACCAGGGGTGCCCCTTGTAGCACCTTAACCCCACCGTGGTCTCCATCGTCTTCCTAGCAAGTCCTGCAGACACCTCTCAGGCCTTTGGGAGGGTGGGGCCAGCACCCCAGAACTTTGGGAGGAGGGGGCCAGCTTCAGGGTGTACCTCTCCTTGCTGGAACGTGTGACTCAAACCAGGCCCCCACCTTGGGTGGGGGAGGTGTACGTGGCATGGCCATGTGGAGGGGCTGGGGGCTCTGTTGGGGGTGGGAGGGGTGGAGACCCACACAAGTGGAGACCCAGGAGGGGCAGCGCACAAGTCGGCGACCAGTAAGACCTAAGTGTCCAGGAGGGGCTGAGGACCACAGGATGGGGAAGGGGGCGCAGAGCTGGCTGGGCTGGCTCTGGGAGGGAGACTTGGTCTGTAACGCCAAGCATGGGTCCTGAGCCCAGGCAGGAGACTGAGGGCCTGGAGTGCTTCAGGGTGACGCCACCCAAAGTACTGTCGACAGGCCTGACCTGGCCCTGGGTCCTGTTCTGCAAGGGGACACCTGGTGGCCAGGGTGTTCTCTGAGGGCAGTGCGGTTGGGGCCTTGGGATCTGAATGGGGCATCGGAGGTCCTCACCCTGTAACCCTCACCCTCAACAAGCCCCCCTCACGGAAGCAGCGTGGAAGCTCTACAGGCTGCCGCCAGCCCCAAGCTGGGCGCTTAGGGGCAAGTCCACTGGCCCCGGCCATGTGCACAGGGTGGGTGGGAGTATACCCAGGCAGGGGCATCCAGCCCTGCCCCACCCACGGGATGGTCTGGAAAGGCCTGTGGCTGAAGCCAAGCCCTGGGGATGCCTTTCCTGTGGGTAGCTCTCACCCACTCGGGCGGGCAGTGTGGGTGAGCAGTGGGCGCTGAAGGTACTGGGGACCCACCAACGACAGGGCAGCCAGGATGCTGCAGCCGGGACACATCCTCAGGAGAGATGGGGCCCTGCGGGAGGACAGCCTGCTTGCCTGTGAGGGAGAGGAAGACCCTGAGCCAGGTGGGCTGGCGCAGTGACCGAGGCAGCCAGCCCCAATGGGACCTTGGGTGGGCGGGGTTGGGTGCTGCTGTCCGTGGGTCGCCAAGAGTCGGCGCAGACTTGACGGCCCCTAACGAGGTCTGGTGAATAATGGCTCTTCAAGGTCAGATCCGTGTTTAAGGAGATTGGTGTGTTCAGGAGGCATGCTACTGGCCACTGGCCTTGAAGACCAGCACTGTACTGGGCTGCCGGCCCTTGGGGTTTCAGATAGCCCAGAGGAGGGCTCATATCTTGCTGTGAAACAGGGTGGGCGGGCCTGTGTGCTGCCACCCTCTAGAGAACCTGCCATTCTTGGACTGAGCTGGATGTCCACCTGCATGTCCGACTGGTCACGACTAGTGGGTTGTCTGAGCGCAGCGAGGTGCTAGGCACACACGTGTCTGGATGGCCGGGGACTCCCTGCTGTAGGCAAGCAGCCAGAGCTGTGAAGTGGGCCTACTGCCCAGGAGGGGAGAGGAAAGGACTTTGATACAGTCTGTTTATGTCTGCATGGACATACGCAGACGCCACCCCAGACCGAGACAGCACGAGCGGCCAGCAGAGCCCCACTGTCAGGCCGCGCTGCGCTGCCGCGCTGCGCCATTTGGCCACGAGGGTTGCAGAGCTGCACAGCCTGAGTTTGCCCCACACTGGTGGCCTGTGTCACGAGGGTCACTGGGACGCACCTCCTATAGCCCTTCCACACTCGCAGCCAGTGCCCTGTGGACCGTCCTGTTGCCCCCGTCCCTGTGTGTGCCCTCCAGGCCACCACGTACACACCTGCTGGTTCATCCTGCCCTCCTGGGGCCAGGGCGTCATCCAAGTGGGGCCATCACTCTAGGGTCAGCCTCTTGGGTGCAACTGACCCAGAGCCAAGGGTGATGCCCCCAAGGCAGTGTCAAACAAGGGGTCCGCCTAGTGTGTAGTTGTAAGGCGCCCCTAAGTGCAGCAGATGGCACTGCCTGGTCTCGCATGGCCCTCAAATTCTGTCTGCCCTCACTGCGGCAGGCACTGTGTCAGTGCACCTGCTCAGGTCCCCTCCTCTTCGCTGACGCACTCCCTTACGTGGACAAACTGAAGTTTATCCGCTCGGGTGACAATGGTCGAGGGGGTGACCTTTAAGGACGCACTGTGGGTTTAGCGATGGGAGGCCGAGGGCAAGGTCCAATCAAGCGGCTTTGCGGAGATCAGCCCGGCCCAGTTGAATCCAATACAGAGAGGTCAGCTCAGAAGATGAAGGTGACCAGTTGCTTTGTGCAAGTCCCAAGTGGTGATCTTTACTTCCTCGGAGGACAGAGCCATCCTGAGGGCTGATTGTGAAGCGGTTCTCAGGAAATGCCTGCTGTCACCCGCGCTTGCTCGTGCCGGAGGGTTTGCTGGGGCACCGTCACCCCTCCAATGCCCAGCAGCCTGGACTTCTCGTTGTTCCCCTAACTCAAAGGACATTGAGAAGGAGTCCAGGAGATTCCATGATCACGAAGGGGGTTTTCCCAGGGCGAGGCTCACCCATTGCACTCCGGACAAGCTGACCCCTGCGATTTCCCCAAATGTGGGAAACTCGGCTGCATAATTTGTGGTAGTGGGGGACTGCGTTCGCGTGCTCCCCTTTTAGGGGGAAAAAAAAAAAAAGATTGGAGTCACTCAAGGAGCAAAAGCAGCCATTTTCATGTAAGTAGAAGAGCCCAGAATTCTGGGAAGGCGGAGAGAGCTGGGCCGCCCTCAGGAGTGAGCAGAGCTGGTCGGGCATGTGGAGAAGCAGCAGCTTCACGCTCTGTGTTTGTCTCACCAAGGTCTCGGTGCTGCCAGACCTTGCCCCCGACACTCACGTGGGCTCTGCCTCAGCCCCAGCGGGAGCCCGTCCTGGGGCGGGTGGGTTCTGCTTAGCACCCACAGACAGACCCCGAGAGGCTGCGGTGGTCAGATGGCTGCCCCGACGGTGGTTCTGTTCCTGTCAAGGCGGGAGCAGGTTTCCCCGCGGTGAGACCATCTGTGTGTTCAGTGCAGTGGCCCTTCTAGGTGCACGTCAGTAGAAGGACTTTATCAAGAAGTTCAGCCCCGCCCCGTTCACGTCCCTGGGCCTGATGTAAGCTGAAGGCCTGAGTGGGTAGCGGCGGGGCTTGGCCAACAGAAGCAGGAAGGCCTCGGGCCGGTGGCTGCTGAGCTGAATGAATCTGGTTGGCAGTAGCTGATGGCTCCCAGACCAGCTGCAGATCTGTACCAGGAGGCTGAGGCAGCGTCGGATCCAGCAGTGGAAATCGTCTGCTTTCCACACTCGGTCCACGGCAAGGGTCTGCAAGGGCTGGACCTGCAAAAGCCGATCCTTCCCCTCACAACTTAAAAGTTAGCCAAGGCCTTACACACAGCTGAAACCGACATTCTCTGAGCAATACCCTTTAGATTAAACTACGATCGTTGTTTTCAACCTGACCCGAGAACCACAGGAGAGTCCTGAAAGAGCCG